TGCTACAAAATAGTGCATGCATTGCCCGGATTCGATCTGTCAATATTCCCTATTACTACTACTAATATCATGCGATATCATGAGATAAACACATTCTGTTTACGCAGCCGTAATGATCAAACTGAAACGCTCTCTCATATTTTCGTTACTTGGAGCCGTAAACACCTTCTGTTCGACTTCGGTACCAGAAATGTTTACAGACTGTGAATGGTTTAATTCAGAGCGCTCTTCGCAAATTCGAATCATCGAATTTTCATTCTGAGAACATAAAACTTTTTGCAAAAAGCTGGACACGCTCTCAATATGAAGGCCTAAACGTTGTTTTGTTCTGCACAACGGATCGACATGAGAGTTTGATGGCCATAAGGAAAATAAAGAGTGAGGACGCACTAGCCTAACACTAAAATATATATAAACTTTTGGAAGTATTTTCTAAGGCATGAAATTCATCAGATCTGGGCGAATCGAACCGCTTATATCGAAAGTTGATGGAACAGTCGTTCATGCCCTCACAAGCGTTGTTATCGCTAGCCATGTCATTATCAATACCGATATTGGTCAACGAGTTGATGCGAAACAAGTGATCAATATTTGAAGGTTGGCTTCTATCATCGTAGCATCGTTGCACACTAATATCGTATTGATAACTGCTATTAACATTATTCGGCTTTATCTTTTCATCAATTGCGCTCTCTCTTTTCTTTAAATGCATTGTTTTGATCAACCAATTGTGCCTTGATTAACCAAGCTTGAGGATAAATGATTAACCCATCAACCATTACAAGCTTTTCAAAGCGATCAATCGCGTGGCGTTCATTTTCATTGCTGTACTTATGGCTATTTGAAATTCAGAGGCTGTTGAAAGTTGTTTAACATTATTTTCGTTGACAATTTTTTTGTACTGTCTACGTTAATCGGAGCGCACAGATTTTGTTATTGAAAACAAGAAGGACAAAATGGAGAAAAATATTTACAATAGATATTCAAAGTCAACCAAACAATAATGCGATTCTCATTTGTTGTGCAAAAAATCAAGTGAATCAAATATTTTTTCAATTCAATTAATAATTCAAATAAATCTAATAATAAATTCAAATAGATGTGATTCCTGATTCAAACAGTGACTTCAAATAAATCAAATTAAATCTGGAGCAAAGCAAAATTTAAATAATTCTAAACGAATAATTCTCCCAAAAATAATTCAAATAATGCGATTATTTGAATTATTTCTCCACACCGTCAGCTGTCCTAATCAGCCCCAATTAGTATGGCCTGTTGTGTTCCTTCCTAAGCTTGCTACAGACCAGTGTTGGCATCCAAAAAAAATTTTGACTCGATCTGAACCCATCCGAATCAACCTTTCAGATTCTGAAGTTCGGTAATCCGATCGAATTTCACAATACCCCGGTCGAAAACGGAAAGAATATATATTTTGAGAAATCTTAAATTCAATGCTACGATCGGACTGCTAAATTCTAGGATCTTAATCCGTTTTCGATTTCGAAACACCTCTAATCCTACTGAGCAAATCTCGGTTGGTTAAGATCACTATTACAGTCCAACGTTTCCATTCTCGAACGAAATTTAGATATATCCAACCCAATTATAAACTTCATTATCACTGAGCTAGTATAAGGCTTAGGAAATATTCATCGTTGGTGAGTGATAAATTTCAAAAAACATTGATCAGGTTAAACTCATTCAGTTAATAGAATGAAGTGATTCTGATTGACATGGTTCAGCACCTCACACATGCTTTCCATAGAAAGTCTTCGTACGACTTATTTTTCTAGTCTGAAATTGGCATCCAATGAGTTGCAGTCTTGGAATGTTCTGATTGTAATTTTTTAACGCGAGTGTAATACGTCAGCAATTGTTCCTGTGTGTTCCAATGCTAAACTGTTCTTATAGAAGAATGTCCGTTTTCAGGAACTTGCATCGATAGCAATTATGATCGCAAGTACAGTTACTCTTGTTATTGTGACAGTGTCGCTGATTTCACACACAAGCGCTAACTTCAAAACCAATTACAATGAAAGCGAAGCAAGAATGCTAGCCTACTTGTCTGGAGCGGCCTACTCGGATGATCCGCAGAAATGTGTCCATAAGTAAGAACAACAAATTTTGATGAACCCTACCGTTCAACATGGTGCTGAAGAGATTCAGCACGCTCATCGACCTGGAGTTTGAAATTTGTGATTATAATATGATGAAGAAATGCAAGCTCCCAACATTCCTTGCGGCTGAACGGTATTTGAATCAGTTGTTTCAAAATTCCGTCTATTTTCGGATCCTTCGACGACGTTTTACAGATCGACCAACTTAAACTTTTACTTCTTGTTAGATGGTAAATTTATGATCAGTGGAAGTGTTACAGTTCTAGTTAGAAGGTTTTCCATCCTCATAATAGTATCAATATAAATAAATTCCAGTTTGCTTCCGCCTGGTGAAAACTGGGAAGTCGTTGAGAAGGTAGAAAAATATTGCGATAAGGCGTGGAATACGTGCTCTGCATATGTGATTCGATCCGATGTTGCGAAAGAGTTTATCGTCGTATATCGAGGCACCACAACCTCATCGCAGCTGTTCCTACAGGGCGCGCATACACTTGCCACAAGGAAAAATTTCTTAGCTGCTGGAAAGGTTCGACTCTAATTCATCCAGTGTGTATTCAGCACGTTCGTTCGAGTGGCATCTGATGCCACGCCGGAAAAGCTGTTCCGATCGATCAACGAAGATCAAAATTTCCTTCCAGACCATCACTGCTTGAGGGTGTCCACTTGTATGCACCATCAAATGTGAGCGTGGGTTACCCCGTTTAAAGCCTCGTAATTCCAGGTTCACCCATACTTCATTAACGGTGTCAATGCGTTGTGGTTTGATATATCAAAGCACTTGAACAACGAACAATACAAGTCGTATCCAGTGATATTCACGGGGCACTCGTTGGGTAATTGTGTCTTCATTTCATGTAGAAGAAATTCCTTTCGAACATTGTGAATGGTCTCAGTTGGTCTCGACGAAAACGAACCGTAATGTAGTTTGGAACGTATTGTTGATCGACGCTACTTTTGAAGGAGGTGCAATGGCGTCATTGGCTGTGATGAGAACGGTACTTAAGGGATTAAGATCGTCAGATCAGGTCAAATTGGTTTCATTCGGTCAACCAAGAGTGGGCGGAAAAGATTTTGTGGCGAAACACAATGAGTTGGTGCCGTATAGGTGAGCAGTTGCAGCAAATTACGTTTATCGAGTGCCAATGAAAAGGTTACCGATGCATGGCGAGTTCGCCAGAAATTCTCATCGTGCTGTAAAATGTATTTGACCAATACGCACGCTGCCTGTCTACCATGTAAATCCGCACTGCTTATGCATTAGAATTAGCACAAGCCTGAGCTTGAGTCGATTCTCTAGGTACCAAATTGCAATAGCTTAACAACTGCTAAACACCATACAGAGGTCTCGGTGGGGCATGCTGAGTCAGTTAAAATGAACAATAGATAGAGCAAAACGATGACTGGGAACATGGAGTGGATATTGTAACATTGAGCTAAAGGGTCGTATTGAAAGAAGTCATTATTATTATTTAAAGTTTTCGCGTTGTTCATAAGCACGATATGGTTCCACATATCCCGCCATGCAAAAGAGATGAAAATTACGTGGCTGGCAGCGACGGAAGTAAGCCTTGCGATACCGAATCGGATGGTTTTTATCATCATGGCATCGAAATATGGTCAGTCTGTTTGATCCTGTGTTTAATTGTATGTGTACATTTGAATAAATACACATGTGTGTTTATACTGAGATCTGTTTGACAGGTACCCGGAAAGCATGGCCCCAGGATCGCAATACAAGGAATGCTTGGGAGAACCCAAAAATGAAGATTTTCGTTGCAGCGATCAGTTTGTATATCAAAGATCTGGAGTGTACATGAACACTATCCAGGATCATTCTGATTATTTTGATCATCTCGTACGTTTTTGTTGATCGCTAAAAATCACAGTTCGAGAATTATCCACCAAAAGTCCTGAATTATGAAAACACCTAAATTATGTTATGTGAATAGATAATTCAGTCTCATCACAACTATCAGAATATACCACCGAATAACGGTATAATTTTGCCCAAGTATAGATCGTTCAGAGAGGATGAAATATGCAAACAACCAATTTGGATATGATTTAAATGTGAACGAGAAATATGGTTTGAAGCAGTGCTTGTTTAATGATTTGTGAATCAGGACTCAAAGTCGTGTTATCTTAAATCAAATACAAATCATCGATCACTAGTACTTGATAATTTCAGATATCGAAATTTGGTGCCATTGGATGCGCAGGTAATGAGCGAAAGCTGTCGAAGTATAGTCTTTTGTCGAAAGCAGCCAAGAAAGCAAGCTCCGTATTGGAGACAGGTGTTACTGCTATGGTCACGGGCATGTGGAAGGCAGCCGATTGGTTTGGAGCAGTCAAAAAATAGTTTACGGAAAAGAATTCGTTGTCTTGCGATTATTTTGCATGTTGACATTAACAGAGTCCTACCAGGAATGTTCTACGCTAGTTTCTGTTGAAATTTTTTGATCGTTCACATGGTCTCTGTCTATCATCCGTCGTGTGTTAGCCACTCGCATTACTTACTCGCACACTGGCGTAATAAAAATTTCATCAAATCAATTTTCTCATTCATGCTTCTATAACGCACAATAAGCTCCTGCTTACAGGTGATCTAACATGGTTTGGTTTATTATGTGCTCATTAATATTCTCATAGCATGTTATCGAAACACTCCTATGCAGGTACACTCATACGGAATGAGGGTCTCTGGGAATGTAGATTATTAAAACATTGCACGATGCACTAAAATAGACAGAGAACAGGGAATATATGAAAAACACTCCAGATGCTGCGATTAACATTTCGATAACTACAAAATCTGAGCTACAAAATAGTGCATGAATTACCCGGATTCATTCGTATTTTATGGGTGAGAAATTAACAGCACTGAATACAAATCAAACGAAAATGCGAGATCTATCACTTGGCGAACTGTTACTTCGTTTGCACAATTCTTCATCGCAAACGTTAAAAACATTGCATGATGCACTAAAATAGTTAGAGAACTGGAAATATATGAAAAGTTCCTTTGACTGGAATGTGAAAAAAAGAGAGCTGGAATATGAAAAATTTCGAATTGCAAACAATGCAATTCGAAAAGAAGAAGTACAAAATGGAGAAAAATATTTACAATAGGTGTTCAAAGTCAATCGAAAAGTAATGCGATTCTTATTTGCTCACCTGAGTTATCTTCTGAGAAAACGGTTTAAATATCCACACCATCAGTCGTCCTAATCAGTTGCAGTTTTTGTGGCTTGGTAACCGTATCCCTTACCAAGCTTGTTACAGACCAGTGTTGGCTTTCGAAAAAAATTTGGCTCGGTCCGAATCCATCCCAGTCGACGTTTCGTGATTCCGAAGTTTGGTAATTCGATGGAAGTTCGGAATTCCTCGGCCGGAAACCGAACGAATATATATATTTTGAGATTCTGAAATTCGATGTTCCAATCGGATTCCGAAATTCTTAAATCTTACTCCGTTTTCAATTTCGAAATTCCTCAGCTCCAACCAAGCGAACTCCAGTTGGTTACAATCACTAACACAGCCCAACGTTTCCATAGTGTGTAGGGATGTTTTCATTCTCGAACGAAATGGAGAGTGATCCATCCCAATTGAAAATTTGATTATCATTGAGCTAGCATAAGGCATAGGAAATATTCGCCGTTGGTGAGTGATAAATTGCATTGATCGAAATCTCTGCAAAACTTATCGATAAGGTTGAACTCATTCAGTTAATACAATGAAGTGATTCTGATTGACATGGTTCAGCATCTGCTTTCGATTCGTATTGCACCAATGCT